ATCCCAATGGCTCTGCCTATGCAATCCTGCTTCTCTCATTCCCCAGTAGGGACTGACCTAGAAAACACACCCCAGCAAGCCTACCAGTACGTATCTGTCTAGCCTGCTTCCTCAAGAAAAAGGAAATGTTGGAAAGAGGATGCTGAGACCACCAACCTGACTATATTCAACTAAAGGGAATCTGCATGTATCAATTCAACAGGCACAAAAGGACAGTGTTCTGTGCCTAATGTCATGCTAATGCTAGCAGTGCATTAGTAACCAATCTAAGTCACTTCTCTCATGGATCCTGTGTTCTGGCCCCAAAAGCCTAAACTTAATAGAACTATGTATTACTCTAAATTGGGGGATGCTGAAGGGCTCAAAGTAGGGCTGCCCCAGAATTACATTTCCATTTTTTTAAATCATTCTTTGACATGAAGAAACCACTAGAGCTGCTAGGAGGCTATCACAGAGACCTGGGCAGGGAGTAAGGGTGACCTGCACTGAAGGCTGTCCTGGCCTTCCTGAACTGATAGGTTTCTCCCAGGGCTCCAACCAGTGTACTCTGGAACAAATCAACATGATGGCTTGCCCTGCTCGAACTGCAGTGTAGCCCTATATATTTGCAGGGATGTGATAGATTTAAAATATATTCTTAAAGACTCAGGAAGTAGCAGAACAGGTTCTTCTGGGTCTCCCCCATGGGTGACAGGGGCCCAGACAATTGGACCATCTACCACTGCTTTCCTGGGCCCTTGACAGCAGAAAGGGGAGCATCTGCACTGGAGCCCTAGAGGGACACCAGTAGCTTTTCAGACTGCAGTTTTACCTGTCATGCCAGGCACCAAGAGTGCCTTTGACAAACTCTTTATACTCCACATCCCTTAGGCTCGGGAATTTTCCCTGCCATCCATCCTCCTACACCCTCTTCCCCCAGCCTGTTTTCCCCTATATTGTAACAACAGATCAGTCCCTCAGCAACCGTACAAGTCCATCATTCTGTTATTGAATGCCTTGTATTCTCCATCACAGTATCCCCCAGAAAAGAAAGCCTTGTTAAAAATTAGAAAATCTTGGGTTCTAGAACTTTAGGAAGCACAATGTTTAATATTAGATGCTTACATATTTCTATCCAAACCCTCTTCCTTCCAAACTAACATATCAAAACCATTAGAGCTGGATATCAAACTGCCTAACACAATCAGATCATTGATATTCTATGCATGTCACAAGAAGTGCAGTAAAATCTTCAAATACGAAAACAGGACTCTAGCAATAGTACTTCTCTTCCTAATTACAGAAGTTCAGTAGAAGACCTCACCAAGGAAAATGTAATATTTGTTTCCAACGATTCATTTTGAGTCCTTAAATCCAAGCTGTGACTATCGTGCAAATCGGATGATCTCAAGTCTGTTTCAGCTGTGATAGGATCCACAGGCCCACCATGCACACCCCTGCTGCACGTGGCTTCAGGGCCTCCCATGATCTACATTCCAGCCCTTTATCACATGGACTTCAGGTTCCCATAGCATTCAGAACATGCAACATATGCAGCAATCATGTTGGTCCGTGTCTGAAATCCAGCAAGGCTTCACACCCTCCAATAATTGGAGAAAGTTCCTTGGCTCTCTAACTTCTACTTTGGGAAAAATATTAATTCTAATATTTGAAACATCAGGGAAGCCATATTCTTAGGCCTGAGACAGCTACAACTCACAATTTTTTTAATCCAACATGACAAAGGTTTATGAAAATTTTTCTGAAAATAAGAAATACAAAAATTCTCAATTCCAATAAGGGTACAAATTTTAGAAAAGGGGGGAAAAATGACTAAATTTCAAACAAGTTGCAGAAACACCAGTAAGCAATTTTTAATTTTAAAAAATTAATGAATTATAAAAAAAAAGATACTCAGAAGCACTACAAAATGTTGTGGAAAGGAAATAAAATATATCATTTAGTCCAAAAAAATTTCAATACTAAGAAAATCTTACCCAAAAAATTGCATGAATTTCAAAAATTCTGCATCATTCCTCTCTTAATTCTATTATCTATGAACTTCTTGAAGTTTATATTTAATCTGGCAAACCAATTTTGATAGCTTGATGAGCAAATTTTTGAGTGTTAAAATCTCAATTAGTGCATTAAACGTAGCTCTATAAACAAAGTAAGCACGTTCCATATGTCTTTTTCACAAATTTGTCCCCATCCTGTCACCTTAAAACCACAGGTAATTTCACATATTTCTCCTACTTAATCTTCAAATGCTATAAAGGCTGTCACCTCAAGCTAAATTACAGGCAATTGTTTTTAAAATTCCCTATCATAATGTTGAAGAATTAAATGCTACTGGGAGGAATAAATTGTGACATTTATTCAAAAACAGTTGAGATGATCCTTAAATTAATCAAAGGGTGAGATTATGGCCCACAGAGGGAGGTGTTATTTAAGAGAGCCTGGTCATTTCTGACATGACTCATCAGAAGGGTTAGAGTAACCCGTTCTTGCACCACAGAGTTCCTCAAGAAGGAGACTGTATGGAAGAGACAGAACCCTTCCAAAAGAAGGCTCTTAATGAGCATATTCAGCAGCAATTTTGCTTATTTCCATTTCTCTTGTCTCAGAAAGTCCCAATGACTTGGTCCACATTGTACATTCCTTTCTGTGATTTTGCCTCCCACTCTGTTTTCAAAGACTGTGAGAGTAATTGATGCCACCAGGCTCTCCTGATGAGTACATTAATTCCTAGGGTGAGCAGGAACATCAGGTGAATTTGGCACATTAGATAACAGGAAGGAGTTACTTCTATACTAATGGAAGGGAGCGCTGACCCAGTTCTTTCAAAATAGGGATATTATCTAAAGTTTCCATTCATTCACGTTTTGAAAATGTGTGCAAAGTGGCAATTTCAGTCAAGATCCTGTTTTCAGGGAGTTAGCAACCATGTGGCTGAATGAAGATATGGCCACAAAGGGAAAAAAGTTGTTAGTAATATGATAGGATTCTATGAGAGACTTAAGAAATGGGGTCTTAAACAGATCAAAAGGTTCCAAAAAGAACATTGCTTAAACACAAACAGGTACACTTCCTTGCTCTCTCTTTTTCAATATATTACTTCTCTCCTATATATGTCACCCTATTTTGGAAAGATGCATAAAATAAGCATTCCCCCCCAAAAAAGGGTTACATACTTACATTTCCTGGGGTTTATCTGATAAAGCCACCACCTACAGAGCCAGCATCCCACATGGGTGTCATTTGGATTTTCAGCTGTTCCACTTCTGGACCAGCCACAGGCTAATGTACCTGGAAAACAGGACAATGGCCCATATCCTTGGGCCCCTACATCTAGGTAGGATATCCAGAAGAAGGAGGTCCTAGCTTCGGACCAGCCCAGCTTTAGCCATTGTGGCCATTTAGGAGTAAACCAGCAGATAGAAGATGGAAATCTGCTTCTTTGTCTCTTGCTCTTTTGTAACTCTGCCCCTCAAATAAATAAATCCTTTTTTAAAAATCTAGTCTTACATTTTCTTACCTTGTTAAATTATATCTGGGTAGTTATTTCTACACTGGATACTCTGGCTTATTAGCACACATGTCAACTTAACTGCATAAGGCAAAATTAAGTCTTTGTAACAGATCCTTAGGGTAGGGCCTTCTATGTTAGACAGCTATGCAGGAGTCAGACCAAAGCGTTCCCTTCACTAGCATCAGAATTCACACGTGGTCAGGGGCGTGGTAGGGAGGAAGCACTCAAAAATGAACCTGAGTGCCTAGTAGCTAACTCCTTATTTAAAAAACAGTGTAGAGCCTCTACTGTTGGAGAGCACTAAAAACTCCTCTCTCAGGCACACAAACTTATAAATACAAATGCAGTTCAGCTCACAGTAAGAACCTGATTCCTTATTAATACTGCCAAAACAGACAACACTTAGAACTGATACAAACTTTACACTGTTAGAAAGTTTAAATCATTCTGAACTTTACATCAGTTGCTCAAAGTTGCCTGGCTTGGGGATCACTGAATGCTATAGGGTTCTAAAGGATGATACCAATGAGATAACACGAGGAGCTAGGAGACACTTTGCCGTATTGCTATGCATTTAGTTTTATAGCCTGATGGTCAGAGTCTGAGAGTTTTCAGGATAAAGAAAAAGAAAGTCAGGCCTCACTCGTAAAAATATAAAAATGTACTTTGTTGTGTTTCAGCTACTAGAAATTCTAAATACCTCAATTAAATTTAAATGAATGCAAATACAGATCATTTTCGTTAAAAACATAAGCATAGAGCATTAAATATAATATGATCCAAATATAAAAAGACAAAAATTTAGGTAGGTTGATTCTACCAAGGAAGTGTTAGGTTCTCTTTGTAGTGATCTAATAAAATTATGAAATTTTTCGAAGAGTCAAAGCTCTCTGGAAAAGTCATCTTTGCCTCATTTCCTCTACCACTGAATTATAGATACATCCTGATGAATGTTAAAATATAAATGGTTTTTGGGGGGAAATTGATGGTCTTTTTAAAAAGCTTCTCACTGTTGGAGGGGCATGGTGTTTGACACAGTGGTTAAGATAACATCAGAGTGCAAGACCTGGTTTCCTGACTTTTAATTCAGCTTCCTGCTGTTGTGTACCTTAAAAGGCAGTAGATGGTTGGGTCCTCCACCAATCAGAAGATGACCTGGGAGGAGTTCTGGGTTACTGGCTTTGATCTGATCCTGATCTGACAGGTGTTTGGGGAGTGAACCAGCACATGGAATTCCATCAACCAACTTTCCTCCCTCTCTTTTTCTAATTTTCTCCTTTTCAAGTAATAGTTTTATTTTTTTAAATTACTTTTGATCATTCTTGATGATGTCTTAGTGCACAAAAGACTACTGCATAAATGCCAATAGACCTGAAAGCTCTCAAAATGGAACTGTCACAATCTTCCTGTTGACTTTAAAATGTTTGTTAGCAGACTATATTCTCTTTCATTTGTGAAATAGCTAATATGTTCTTTCTTGTTTTTGTAGCAAGAGAAACTGGGTGATATCTGCTTCTCACTTCGCTATGTACCAACTGCTGGAAAACTGACCGTTGTTATCCTGGAGGCAAAGAACCTGAAGAAGATGGACGTGGGTGGCTTATCGGGTGAGTCTGTGTTGTTTACGGATTTGCAGAAGTGCTGTTTCACTGTGGATACTGAATGCATAACACCCCTGCTGTGACTCCCCACTTTTTAATTGATCACAGCCCTCTTTCCTATGGAGCCAAGAAGCAGCCTCAGAATTATCCCTACACAGGGCACCACAGGAAGCCATTCTCAATTTATTGGAATTGGCATACAAGATGAAATCTAGTTTCTTTCTTCATAGCCAAATGATCAGTTGCCATTTCTAGGATACTGAAAACTGAAAATGTTTGCTTTTCTTCTGAAGTTAATTCTCATGGCAGATTCCTTTGAGGTTTGTTTTTTTTTTTTTTTCATAGTTCACCCAGAATACAAAGAAAGAAAAATTCTGAGGCTCAATAGATAGTTGATAGCCTAATGTTGTTCTTGGAATACTATTTTGTTAAAGACAATATTTCAAATGCATCTCAATGGTGATTGTTTCAGAGTGATGCTCCATGATACATTTAATTCCACAGCTTGTGATGGAGACTGGGAAGCCTTACCGATTCAAACCTTTTTTTTCATAATTCCGTAGGCAAAAATGGTTAGTAAAGAATATTCCTCCCCAATAGTAAAGTCAGTTCAAGGTTGTCACTTCCACAGTTGAACACAATTTTTCTTTTTCTGCATGATTAAATCAATTACAGTTTTAATTTCCCAGTGAATTATTAAAGTAAAAGGGATTTCCTTGACATGCCACAAGGACATCAAGAACAGACTGTGGCTGTCAGTGTGGCTGTGGAATGCCTAACTGACGTGGCCATTACTCAGTGTTTTTCTCAACAGTAACAACTGCAAACTTCTGACAACCACACTAATGCAGCACAGTGGGTTTCTAGTCTAGAGCATAGCTATTAAGAGCTGCTAACGTTCAGTTTCCACTTACTGACCCACTCAAGTTTGTCAGATTCTCCTTGTCACCTGAGTTTTTCTTGATATATACATTGCCTGAAGGAGCCATACTGATTGCTTCATGTCACCAAGACCCTATTTTACCTACACACAGCTTTTGTCACCTAGTAACATAAAAGAAAATTTAAGGCAATGAGTATAAGTTCTTCTAAAATGCAGAGAATATTTAACATGCTTCCATCTGGAAAACTTGCAGAGAATTTTAATTATAATTACAGCGCATTTCCTGATGACTGAGTATTCTGGAACCACTTTACAAGTGGTTAACCCTGCCCTTTCCTATGGTTCGGTAGCCAAGTACAATCGCATACAGCTTCACATCATCTATCACATGGTCCACTCCAAATTTCAATGCCAAACATCCTCTCCCACCCCAGTGTAGCACGCCCACTCCTCCTCAATCAACTTGTACCCTTCAGCAGAGCTCTAGGACACCTTCATCCTAAAATGAAAAAAGCTTCAGGGATGTTTCTTTGTCCTGGCATCTTGCAAGGTCCTGGAAACGAGTTGCCCTGATCACTGATAGATTGTTCAGAAAGAGACATTCTGCAGTTCCTGTCGCTCCCTTTCCTCTCTTCACCATCCATCCTTATCTAGTGCTATCACAGGGGCATTTTCAGAACTTGGCTGAGGGAATGTCAGCTGCTCAGGGTGTATGTGGTTTACAGTCATATTCATGACTGTGCCACTATTAGGTATCCCAGCAAAGCAAGAGCATCTGGAATAATCTTAACCCATTGTACAGACAAACTTAGCACAGTGACATGAAGAGAGAGTCAGAGATCATATCTAATCAAATACTTATGATTTTATGCTTTTCTAAAGAAACGCAGCAAAATTATATTAGCCATAGGACTCAAACAACCTGACTTCATCCCTGAATTTGAATTACCTGGTTTGACTTTATTATATTTTAGCTAAGTATAAATATCAGTGAAAATCCCTAATTTTAAGGGCTCCCTGGTGCTTGTATAATTAAATTATTAATAGTCTTGTCTCTTAGGTCTACATTATATAGATGCTTTCAGACTATGTCTTACCATAATTTCTAATCTTTTTACTTCAGAGTACAGAGACAGAAAGAGCAAAGTAGATGGAGACATTCAGTCCTCTTATTCACTCCCTAACAGGCTCCTAACTGTTAGGGTGGAAGCAGACTAAAGCCAGAAACCCCCGAACCCTGTTTTGGTCTCTTATATAGATAGTTGGTCTCCAGCTGGCTGCCATTTAGGGTGCGTTCACAGGAAGCTACATCAGAAGTGGAGCAGTGAATTACTGAAGTGTAAGTAATTTCTCCTGGATATGCCACAAGGATGTCAAAAATTAGATTAGAACACAGGTACTCCAAGGTGAGTACACACATGCCCAAGAAGCATCTTCATTGTGCCATCAAATCCCTTTCTAATCAAACTGCCCCACATACTCTGCTCTAAACAGACGCTGTAACTTGCTGCCTCCATGCCTTGTCTGTGTTTAGTCCCTTACCTGGAATTCACTTTTCTTCCAACAGTGTCTAGCTAACTCCTGTCCATCCTTTGATCTAACTGAAGTATTTTCTCCTCCATTCATTCCCAAGTAATTATTGCATCTGAGTCACACCTTAACTTGAGTACTAAGTTTACAATGAAGAACGAGTTAGCTCCAAGTCCCTAACCTCATGCAGCCTGCATTGCAATGTGGAGAGACAGACAAGAAGATCAGTAAGAACTGCATACAGCATTCCAAGAAGTGACAGGTGCTCTGGGGGAGTAAATGAAGGAAGTGGGGTAAGGAATTTGTAAGACTATTTTTTAAATGGAGAGGTCATGGAAAGATTGTGTAGAATATATACTGGCAATAGCCTGGAAGAGGAGAGGAACTAAGCCACAGGGTCATAAGGGGAGACAGAGTATCTTAGGTGATGTTACTCCGTGACGCATTCTCTGTCCCATCCCAGTTGAACAAATCTTTGTCTTTTTTAAATGCCACGAGCAGTTTGTTTACACCGCTCAAACATCACGCCTCTCTCTCACTAGCTGTGTTCTGTATTTTTGTCTCCCACAATGCTTGCACTGACTGGTAACACTAAGCATAGCTGCAGAATGAATAATGAATTATTTACAAAGGAGCTGGAGCCTGAAAAAACAAGTCTTGCATTTCAAATCTGTTTAACCTACTTGCCATTAAAACAACTTTAAGCACTTGAATGGTCTCAAAGTAAGTTGACCTATGTACCAGGAGACGACAATTATGTAACAAGGTCATTCCAGGTAATTCAAATGGCAAAATGCACATTTGCTGGAAATTGGTAGGTAATTAGAACCAGAGCAGATTGTTTTTGCTGGGGTTTAAACCCCAGTGACCACTACTAAACTGCTTTAGATCAGATGAGGTATCCATCTCTGCTCTGCCTCAGTTGTGTCATCTATTAAGTGGATGTAATGTGAGCACATTGTTGATGAGCTTATACAAGAAATAAATTAAAGCTCAAGGAGTAGCCCTGAGTACTCAACAAATATATACATATTTGTAAGATTTATTCATTTATTTTGAAAATTTGAATTATAGAGAGATCTTCTGTTCCCTGGTTCACTAACCAGATGGCTGCAACAGCCAGCACTCAACAGACCAACCTAGGAGCCAAGCTGAATGGCATCAGACCAGCCAGTGGGGATATTTTCTGCTTTTCCCAGGCCATTAGCAGGGAGTTGGATCAGAAGTGGAGCAGCTAGGATATGAACCAGCTCCCATATGTTAGATTGGCATCACAGGCAATAGCTTTATCCACTGCAAAACAACACCAGACCCGTTCATCAAATACTCTCATCATTTTCTTTTAGCTTTATCACATCTTGGGCTGAATGTACAAAATGAAGGATTCAACTGATTCAACTAGGTAAATGTTCATCTGTTTGATGAGATCGGCTGATCAGTTTATGCAAAGCTATCAGTAGGCCTGTAACTTTGAACAACAACAACAAAAAAAATAGAGAACTAGGGTATGGAGTCAATAAAAAAATGAACAGGAAATTAAAAATAACATTTTCTGACTGCCCTTCAGCAGAGTGAGCTTCCTTCCTGCAGTGTTAATTCAAAATGCCCTGCACATTTTCCTCTATCATAATTCCACACATCAAAAGATGCAAATAGCAGCCCTTCATATCTTACCATGACAAGCTTAACTAGACAATTCACATCTCTACAATAGATTTGTACTTGCTTTCTCAAGTGCTTGTGAGCAGAGGAAAAGATTTCGGCATCTAGCTATTGTATTGAGCACTTGAGTCCTGAAAGCTGCAGAACTGCTCCTCGTGAACAAATTAGTGCATGGATTAGGAGCAGCTTTTTGTTTGTTTTGTTTTCAGTGCTTCGACGCAATCCTTCTGCCCAGTGCTCATGCCTCCATTCTTTCACTGTATTTCACACAGCCTTTGTTTGGAACAATCATCCCATCAGGTTAATTTGTAAAAATCACAGGAGACAACGAATAAGCCCAAGAAACCAAAGGCCTTGGAAACACTGACATTCTCAAAGATGTGAAATTATTATGTTTCATAGTCCTGAGATATAATTTGAATAGACTTGGAAGTGATGATAGGTTGAAATTTCAAAGCTATCTGGAAAAATTTTTACTTTTCAAGTTAAATCTGGGAATTGGCTATTAAAAAGTTACATTATCTGATATGGGATGCATTCTAATTTAGAAATGCTTGCATAACTTAGTTTATCATGGGGTCCCAATGAGTCCTGTGAGGTAGGCTGTGAAGGTGGTGTTCATTTTCTGATGAGATAGTGAATAATGTACATCAACAATCTTCCCTTATGTCATATACTGACACCGAAAGCCACCTGGTTAACAGGACTGAAGTTCAGGTTCCTGATACCCCAGAGAGTATTACCTCCCAATACAGCACTCAACCTTCGCCACGTGTCACTTTAAAGATGGGAAGACACTGACTCCCCAGTTGTCATGTGTGGAAGTACCTCCCCTTCTCTGGAGCTGAAACTTTGAAAGATGAGGCCCTCAGAGGAAATGTAGGCTTCCAAGCTTGTTGGAGTAGATGGGTCCAGGAGCACAGCAGATAAA